ATGTAAAGTGCCAATTATGGGATGATTTAATCATCGGAATTTATAAAAATAGAAGTAGTAGTTGTTGAGAGAATATGAAAGAGATGCTGGTTCTGCTGTGAGTGACTAAATCCCACACCCATACCCAAAGCAGTAATTGTTTGGTTTTGCAGAAGTAGGTGTGTTGGGGGCTGCCGGGGCGGGGGGGGGGGTGTCATGCCACAAAACAGAATAAATAACTTCATACTTGAGAGAACCAAAGAGAATACAGCAGCAAGATCACCAATCTTAGAGAACAGGTGAAGATAGTCAACAGGTGAAGCAAGGGACAGTGGCCTCCACAGATAGAGTTAGCTGTGAACTAGTAACCAACAGGCTAATATTTATGAATACTTGTATAATAGGCTGGCACTCTTGTTTTATCTCATATTTAATCTCCACAGCACCCCGGACATGCCAGTACTATTATTCCCTTCATCTGATGCATAGGGATCCTGAGTCTTAGGGAAGATGAGCAAACTAAGCCCATATGCTACATGAAGGTAGATCCACATTTTGAACTTGGGTTTATCTCACGTCAAAGCAAGGTTTTATACAACTTCACTGAGATATGCTATCTGCTTTTCAAAAGTCATAACAGTCTACTTTTATTGGTGACTTTGCTGTTTATAGAGTATTTTAATTCTGGTTGAAGCACATGCAATTGCCATTTTTTGTATGTAAAAAAAATGGTGAAATACTGGCAATATTATATTTCAACACATACTTTATTCCTTTGAGTCAGACAGTAATTTCATTTGGGAGTTATGAATATGACTTAAATTTGAGAAAACTAAGGACAAGAAAAAAAATAAAAGATTAAAAAAAAAGAGTATTAGCAACCAAAAGATTAAACGAGGGAAGAAGCATTTTGTCACTGCCCAGGCTGAATTTATGCTATTCAACCATCTCTGTGCTTCTTGCCTTCCTGTTTCTCTTTTTATGTGAATACCTTCTGTCCTTTTCACCTCCGTGCTTCATACTCTGATGCAGATGTTTTTCTCCCATAAGATTTCCCAAGTCAGTGGAGTCTATTGAGAGCTCAATGTCCTCCAGACTCCATTCCATGGGTCACCTACCTCTTTCTCTAGGATATGCTATTGTCTTAATGATTTTAATTCTTTTGCACAATTGCTGTCTTTAACTTTGGAGCCACGTTACAGGTTCCCTGTGATAACTCCCTTTCCTCTTTTGTGATTCTGAAGTACAATCAATGTTGGTCATATCCTGCAAACACTATTAAATGATGCATTTCACTAAAAGTTTTTAGAGGAGATGGAGACCATAGACATCATATACTGTGTAGCATTTCATACCTAGAATAATTTTATTTTTTTAAAAAGTCTTTCCTCTTACCCCTTTCTCCTCCTAGATCCCCCTAGGCAGGTTACAAACTTCACCTTCCAGACCCCTTCTGCACCCTCCAACCTCTTTCTCTTCTCCTGTTTTCCTGTAGCTCTAGATTCCTTTTCTCATGTAATGCAATATGGCTCTACCTCAGCTTCCCCAGCCTACCTCTTCACAGTTCTTATCATCATGCTTAACAAATAAAACCCACCCTATTTGCCTATCTTCCTTAGAAAGTGGCAAAACATTACATTCAATAAATAGTTTTTCTTCCTATGATGCTTATCAATATGGGTTACTTTTCCAATAGACTAGAATCTCATGCCTAAACATGAGAACATTTATCTAGCACCTACTAAGACCAAGCCATATTATGCTCCATGCTTTTTATGACTCTATCTTACACTTGCTATAAAATATGCCAAGACCTGACATATTGCCAGCATGGAGCAAGAATAAAAAAATATGTTGATAAATTGATTTCTATCAGACCCAATAATCTTTCAACAGTATCAAGAATGAAAGATTTAAACTAATAAGATACATATTGTTACACTGAATAAATAAATCTACTATATAAAATTTTAAAGATTCCTAATATGAACAAATTTTTTAATAAGTCTTTACCTGCCTTTTAGTAGATTGGGCTACTAAGCTTTCAAAATTATAAATAAGTTCTTTATGTAAGTTTTTGGACTTGGGATGTGACTCAGTGTTAGAGCACCTGCCTAGCATGTGAGAAGCCTTGGGCCTGATCTCCAGCACTGCAAAAGTAAGTGAGTAAAAAACAAATAAACAAATAATCTCCCAGTAAGAAAAAATGTTCAACTTCTACCAAGAATAAAATAAAATTAAGTGGTATTTTATGACACCATAATCTCACTAATAGAAGAAGAAACACGAATTAAAGGATATGTTCACGTTTGTAAATTACATTAATACTTTAAAAAGTATTAATGTCAGGAAAGGTGTAATGAAGCAAGGATGTTACTGAGCATGGTGGCACATGCCTACAATCCCAGCAACTCAGGAGGCCGAGGCAGGAGGATCATAAGTTTGAGACTAGCCTGGTCAACTTAGCAAGACCCTGTTTCAAAATAAAAAATAAAAGGGGCTGGGGATGTACCTTATTGGAAAAGTCCCCTGAGTTCAATCCCCAGTAAAAGAAAGAAAGAAAAAAAAAAAGAAATGTCCATTCAGTGCTAAAAATGGGATATAAATAAAAGTATCCCCTTTGGAAAGCAATGGGGGAATGCATATATAAGACCCTCCTAAGATATTTATATCATTATTTTTGACATTAACAACTATTAAGAATGTATTTTGAGAAAATAATATTTAAAAATGTATGAACAAAGATTTCCACTGCAGTACTGCTTCCAAATAGTAACATTAAAAAACAACCTTAACATAAAACAATGGAAGTATGATTAAATAAACAAATCAATATTATACAGGACCCTAAAAGCCTGATAATAGTTTGAGATGATATAAAATCCTTGTTAAAATGTTAATTGAAAGATTGGAATGCAAAATTTTATATATATACACTCACATACACATATAGTCATTATGAATGTATAAAACTATCCATAGAAAACAATACTGTGGATATCTTCATGTCTTAGAACAAAGGATAATTTTCCAATTGGTTTATATTTTGACTTTTTTGTAGTAGGCTTACATTATTTATAATCAGAATAATAAAAAGTGTTTTTGAATTGGTACATACAATTGGTTCAGAATCACCGACTAATCCTCACAACATTCTGAATACTCCCTGTTAATAGATTCCTTTCAGCTGAATTGTTACCAAGAGCCCTTGGATAGTTTCCCAAACCAGTTAATGCTCATTGCACCAAGGACTGATATATTGTAAGGTGGTAAAACATCACGTAAATGAATGAAATGTGAGTATGAAAAGTCACTTCTACAAAAAGACACATTGAAGGTACATTGCTAAAAGAAGGGTTGCAATTAGTTGTGAGAAGGTGGTATTACAAAACTTTTGGGAAAATTTATAAAAATCTAGAACAGTTTTGCATTCACATTGACATACAAATGTCTTTAATTCTTTTACTTTCAAGAACAAGAAACAAAAACTGGATACCATCTATGATATAATTTAAGTGTGATTTGTGCAAGCAAGTTGAAGAGATCCTTAGTTAATACACTTACATTCAAGGTAAAGGTCTCTTTTTTCTACCATAAATGTGACATTCAAGTATCTACTCATATGTTTCAAGCAAAAGTAAAACTCCAAAATTTTGTGTGCTTGTATCAATCTTGTAACTAAACCACAAATTATTGGTCCTTACTGGTCCGATAAGAGGGTCACTGTTGCATACAGTATGTACACACAGAGTTACTTCTAGTCATACAAGTAAGTTATAATTTGTTTAAGAAACCATGTTATGCATATACTTATAAGTAAATGTATATGTATGAATATAAAGACATATTTGTATATACATGTATATATGCATGTGTCTGCTTTCACCCACACACTATTTATATACCATGAAATTAACCACTCTACTGCTTGACCAAATCATGCATTCATGCAGTAGACCTTTCATAAGTAGGTAATTTAGCAAACTCAAAGTGTGAAATTAAACTTGGTGACAATGACCGTGGTGCGTGTAGGCACCATAGTTCTGGTTGAAAGCATCATGTTTAACTTACTGTTCCTTTGTCCTTATCAGCAATGGCCAGAGCCAAAGAATTTCTTGTTCAGCCACCTTAAGATTCACTTTCTGGGGGAGCTCAAGTACCTAAACCTAAAGCACTTAGCTCAGAAGCACTATTTACAACCAACTCAGAAGTTTGCCTAGAAAGTCTTCACTTAGTCCAACTCGGTCAAGCTCCTTCTTCTTCACATCAGGCCAGAAAAGACTGGCTAAAGGAGATCAGAAGTCCCAAATAAAGAAGGAAATTGTTCTTGTTGAAAAACAGATAAAAGCATTTTGTTTTGATGAATGGACATATTTTCAGTATTCTCCTTTGCTGGAAAGATATAAAAATAATGACATACAGGGTGGTGTTACGCTGGTGAGTGACAGAGAGTGAAAACACGTTCTAAGGGAGGTGCTGATAAATAGTTAAGTCTGAATTCAAATGTTTGCCCTTTGCTTTCCATCTCCATGATCTTGTGCAACTTACCTCATATCTCCAAAACTTATTTCCTCATCTTAAAAATGAGAAAACTATGACCATCCTCATGAGACAACTATGAAATTAACCATAATCACTTATAATCCCTGGCACATTTGTTGGGTGGGAGATCAAAATATTCATTTCTCCTTCTACTCAAGTTTTGGTGTCTTAATCAGGAATAGGATTCTTTGAGGATCCAGAGGGAAAATGTAGATCAGAAGGTCTGGTCCAGTTTTGACACAGGATAATCGCCTTCTCTTTAAAACACTTTTTTATAATTCATTTTTAAAAATAAGCAATGGAAAATATTTACAGATAATTTTGTGTCCAAATTTTTTGTAATCTTTATGTCATTGAGAATGCATTCTATTAGTAATATGTATTTCTCTATTCCTCTCTCTCTCTCTCTCTCTCTCTCACACACACACACACACACACACACACGCACACACACGTTCCAAGTGAAAAGAAAGGCTTACCTGCAGTTCCAGAGAGTTCCACACTTAAGGTTCGTTCAATAGTCTTGTTCTCAAATGGGGAACCCTTGGGGTCACTGGAAGATATGGCACATTTATAAAAACAAACTGAAATGGAGTTGCTGTAGCCAAATGTATTAGAACCCCCTTCCCTTTCTGAAAATGGTTACATTTCTTAATACTTACTTTGGTGACTCTGGGGTCAAAGGAAGAGATAAAGTTGTTGGTTTGGCTAAAGGAGAAAAAAAGAACTAATTATGAAATATGGAGTATTTTTTAGATTTATTTTCTTTCTACTACAGTCAGGTTAGAAACATGACCGGAAAATTGGAAAGCTGAACTAAGGGAATCCCTGAAAACTGGATCAAAGTCAGAGAACAGTCCATTATGCTAAAACAAATTCCAAACAACATTTGCATCAGTAAACTATCATTTGAAAACACATACAAAACCAGAATTTTTCCCAAAATGTACCATCCTGTTAAGAATACAAAATTTGCATCATACCATCAGAGAGAAATAATGCTTTCTGTTTTAATTTGGAATACAGTACATGGTTTGTTTAGACAAAAAAAAACAGCAGAGTAACTACAAGGTGACAGAACGTTATGAATATTCAGTTGATTTTACTCCTAAAATGTATAATTTTATATCTAGCCCTGAGAATAGGTTATTTCTATGAGGCTGAAGCTCAAGCAATAACCGTTCCATTCACTGAAAATTAATTGAGCGATTATGGCAAATTGTGGGCATTGACCCAGATGGCTTAAATGGAGTTTGGAACCCCAACTCCAATAGACAACTGAAGTTAGATATTGTGTTTATCAGTTGAGAGATCCATAGACTTGCAAAGAGAGCTCTCCAATTTCTTTCAGTCTTTCCTAAGTCCTATTTCCTATAGGAGGCATATCCCAATAATGAGAAGGAAGTGGGTGGGAGTCTTCTCATCACAAAATCTCCATGTCAGTCTTATATTCTGAACAGAAATAGGGACTATGTGATGAGAAATGTACTTGAGCTAGACATCCAAGTTTCATTTGTACTTAAGCTCTTCTATGGAGATACACTTGCATGTATACAAGTCTATATCAACATTTTTCTCATCAAGCAACTACTTTCAGAAGGTCAAAAGTAGTTATTTATGCAATGAAAATCATGAAGTTGAAACCAAAAGTGTCTTTATAATAAACTTTCTTATTTTATGGATGAAGAAACTGACACCCAACGATGCTAAATGATATTTGCGGGGCCATAAAACTAGTTCCTGGCAGAACTGGTCAAGATGTTTTCTTTCTCCTGTTATCAAAAGGAATTACATTCAACAGACTTTCAAATAAATTAATCAAAGCCAGTAATTAAGGTCCTTTGAAATGGGAAAATATTATTTATGTCCAAATTAGCCTGAAATTAGGTGCTTTACTTGGATAAATAGTATTTACATATTTAATTTGTAGATTTAGATTTAGTTTTTAAACAATCGAATGGTATATTATCTATCTGATGTGCATCCAGAAATATGAAGCTCATGCTGTCTTCTACAAATTAGGCACATCGATTAATTGGCTTTTACATATATACAGATAAATGAACTGATTTCACATTAATTTTTGAGTATGTCTAATTTAATGAGCCTTTCAAAAATAACTCATTTATGAAGGAACTTTGCCCACTTTTATGATGTTCAACTAAGAACTAGGATAATTCATACAGGTTCCATAGAAAATATAACCAGATAAGGAACTACATGCTATTTGACACAATAAATGTACATTGAAAATCAGAAACTGAATTCCAGTTTCGAGATGTAGTCAGACTCTGAAATGCTCAAGGGAAGACCCCTACAGTTGTGGTAGTTGTGCATAGCTAAGGCCAAGGGCAAGGGAGGAAAGAAGATGAATCAGCATCAGTCATATTTAATAGGACCAATGGCAAAAAAGAAATTAGAACTATAGGAGAAGTGCAGTCCCTAAACCATATTCAGCACTTAATCCCCAAATCAACCAGGCTCCTATACTCAAAGAGAATTGGTTTGGTTTACTGGGAGTTTAATGGACAATGTTTCAAGGACTGGTAAACTAGAGACTGCTGGGGTCCTTAAGGACAGGAATGCCTCTTTTTCATGTAGATGATGCTTTTTGGATAAACACATTAGGGAATGAATGAATAAATGGGACACCAACACATACCAAAGACCAGTGGATCATCCTAAGGAACTGAAAAGCACATGACCCCACAATATTACAGAGAGCACACGTGAAGTTCAGGGGAAAAAATTTATAGCACATTTGGAAAGGGGATCTCAGCATATCCTCTTCATTAGAGTCTTCAACTGTTCATGTACATTTTACTTCTTGATTTAACGACTTAATCTCTGAAGCTGAGCATTTATTGGTTATTAATAGTCAGCCATGTTTATTTCTTTAGGCCTTTAATAAATAGAATTGTATTCCCTTAGTAACAGGAATTTTTTTCTTTTTTAACCAATGGGTTTTATTTTGGGATAAGATTTTATGCTTTGCCACAGACACATACCTTAACAAAATCCACATGTAACTGGTCTTGCCTAGAGAATAAATCCTCCAGAGGCCTATTTAATTTCTTACTACCATGATCTGTAAGTTTACAGTGATTAATATTAGTGGATGTGGACTTATAAAAACCTCAAAATCTAAAAGGATCAGCTTTAAAAAAAAAGTACAAAGACTTTTAAGCCATGTGCTGCTGGGCTGGGTTCACTGATCACAGGATTTTAGGGAGCTCAGGACTTCAAGTTCAGCTTCAGAAAACCAATGTCTGAATGACAAGGTGCAGAGAAGCACAGCAAACTCTTGTGCTCACTTTCTATAGCTACCCCAAAGGTTACCCTTCCCTGTAGGCCTGCAGCAGAATGGGCCGCTTAGCATGGGGGTTCTGTCCCCCCAAAAAATAACTGTGACAGAGCTTGCCATCAGGAGCTAATCTGCACAAAGGGAGCTGTAAGGGAACTTGGCCCACATCATTAATATATATCTCTCCAAACAGACAGAAGATGGACAATGAACTTGACATATCCACCACAGAAAACCCAATGGAGAGCCAATTAGAATATTAAAGGGAAGTTCCTAAAAATCTTGTGCTAATGTGGAGGAGATGAAGGGAGGGGATTCAAAACAGTGGGGAAGAAAATACTCATGAATATCAGCAGCAACAACAGCATACCTGTATGAAACAATCATGGTTCAAAACAGGGATCAGGGACTATCATTCTGCAGCTAGAAGGAGAAGTTGGAGAAACAAAAGGAAAAAAAAACAGGTGGGTGTTTATAATGGTTATTTTAGAATATGCCTCCTTCTAGATAATGTTAGAGGTAGAGTAGGAACTGGCTTATTTTAAACAGCGGTCACTCACAAGGAGCTCTCTTTGGGCCTCCTGGACTACAACATTTTGAGGGGGAAGAACCAAAGAAGAAAATTATATGTTTGCCAAGAGATTTTCCCCAAATAACCCCAATTGACACTGGAAGCATCAGCTTTCTAGCAATGTATGGAAATAATAAAAATCAACCCAGAAGTTTTGTTTAATCTAGGCAATTTTTTTTTTAAAAAATGAGGAAAAAAAAAAAGAAAGAAAGAAAGAAAATTTTAGGAATTTCTAAATCCTTACATACAATATAAAATCTGTAAGCACAGCATGTGGTGTATAAATGAAGAAGAAAAGAAAAATGCACTTAATGAGGAGAGGCTACATAAATCGTGTTTACTACTTCTTAAGGTATAGAGAGTAAATCTATAGCGACTCGGTTTTTCCATTACCCAAAGGGAAAAAATAAAAGCTCTTTAATGAGTGGGCCAGCCCGGATCACACCTAACTTCTACCATCTCAGGGATTCAGAGATTCCCCTAAGCCTCAAGGATGTCGCAATTCCTTCCCACTCTGCTTTACCCTCCACCCAGCTATAATTTCAGGGATCTTTTGGTAGTTGCAGCTACTGCCTATCAGCGGAATAGGATATGCTCAATCTGTGTCCAAGCAAGGGTTTTCTTCCCCTCGGTAGTAAACTGCTGAATTCTCTTTCCACGAAGACACCCACGGGACCGAGCGCGCAATCAGCGCTCAGACCTGGAGTCTTTACTGAGCTGTGCCACAGCGCGGGGGCCCGCCTACCTTGTACATGGTGCGACTGCGATTGTGTGTGGGACTTCTTTTTGGAGGTGCATTTGTCTCTGCTGCTGTTCCTGTTCTCTGTGGGTTTGGTGTGAGGAGGGTCATCGTTTGTGGTCAGATACTTGAGAAGCTCCGAGCATGGACGTCTTTGTGGCTTTTGCTGTTGACAAATGCTCTTCGCTTTATTGCTCCATGAATTCTCGGTCTTAAAAACAAGGCAGAGAGAAAGCTAAAATTAGTGAACTGAACCTTATCAGAATGGATATAGGTTTTTTGAAGAGATGAGATTTCCAGTGAAGTGTTCAGTCTAAGTGTACTAGATCTATGAGCTGTGAATAATTGTTTGCAGAACAAGGAAAGAAAATTACATTTAAAATTCCTAAATGACATTTATGCAGCTTTTTATTTCATTTCTCCTACATTTCAATGTTCCTACTCAGCAACATGTAACTAACAAGACCCTACAGCGCCTTTACTGTGAATAAAAAAAAAAGTAAGCTGGTTTAAACCTTAATTTACAGCTGATTGCTGAAGCCCAGTATTCACAACTCTCTTAAGTACCCCTTAACGCTCCGTTTTCACTCACAGTGAATGGCAAGACAAACATTGTTTAATACAGCAAGCATTCCATCCAATTAATGACAGAGACAGATCTTTTGCAGCGATTCCAAAGAAATGTTTCTCAGGTTAGACAGCTGGCAAAACAGCCACCCTGCATCTTAAAGTCACTCATAGGCAACTACAGCCAGTCGGCACATGTTCTTGGAGTCTGGACTGCTATAGTATTCATAAAGTGAGCAAGGGATCACACTCTGTTGTATTTCCATTCCAATCATCCAAAGCCAAGGCCAAAACAAACTCTTTCGAGTTTTAAGTAGCTCCAATGCTGTTTCTGGAAACCCATTTCATAATCTTTGTCACATCTATGAGGTGGCTGCAGGACCCGGTTGAATTAATATATACAAACTTAGGGGCTGTTTCTCAGCTTTAAGCAACAACATGTTGCTTATTATCCCCTGTTGTATTAAAACATTTATGTTGGTACCTTAACAACTGCAGGGCTTGTTCTGATCCTGTGATTGTGGTTTGCATGATTCTGGGTACTGAGGCCACTGCATTCATTATAACTCAGCTGAGTGTTGGCCGGTGCCAGCAGGAGCTTCTTAAGCTGGGAACATCAGGGAAGGAAAGAGAAGGCAGTTATGGATCTGTTACACACTCAAATCAGCAAGTGAAATTTTAGACTTTAATTCATTATCATTACAAAAATTAATTCTACCACTCTTTAATTCTATCACCCCTGACCACAATAGTGCTCAAGGAAACATTTTTTAAAAAGTGAAGAAAAAGTTTGGCATTGTACTACCAACCGTGAAAGTAGTTCCTTTGCCTCCATTTGAGACTGGGCATTGTTCAGAATTTTTAAAATTATTTTTTGATATCATAAAGCAGTTGTTCCTAAAGTGATTTCCAAAGCACTACTATGAGTTAAGCAATGCTGCTTTGCTCAATGAGGACTTGGGCGTAGGAATCAGATACACAATTTTCCTCTAAAACTCAAATCAATCAAGTGGCAATACATGAAAGATAGTGTGATGCTTTTAACAGGTTTCACAAGCAACCCTCCAGATTGATTGACTCACAGAATGTTTGGGCAGAAATAGTGGCTATCCTGATCTCAGAAGGGAAAGAAAGGACATGTGAGCCGAGTTCTGTAGGTCAGCATGTAGGTTGGAAGACGAGGGCTCTGATACAGACAAGGCTGTCCTCCATGTGTTTCTGCATTTGCCTGGATGACTCTCAAGCATCTCCCTCCCTTATACACAGAATGTCTTTGGGCCAGCAACCCACCTCCCAAGTTGAATAAATGGTGCAGATGAAAATCATCTGGTTATCAATATAAAAAATCAGAGTATTAAACAGTAAAGCTAATGACACTAGAAGTGGAGAAAAGGCAAAATTAAACAAGAGGCTATTACATATGAGATATTCTCAAGACCAAAAATCTCAAAATAGAAAGGAATACAAGTATGGTCCCCATGTTTATTCTTTCAACGTTTTAAAACCTAGAGATGTGATAAAACTATGCCTCCAAATGGTGTACCCAAAGCATGTTACTAGAGTCTGGATGCTGGCGTTTCATAATTTACACAGCATGCTCTTACATCAGATTTATGGCAAATGACAAATGGCTACCATAGCTGAGAAGGTAAACTGTGTCTTAGAACTAATAAAACTCTGGTCTAGCACTGCATTGAAAAGAAAATTCGCTCTTCATTGCCTACCATAAATTTTAAGTAACTTAGGTTGCAAATGTGCTATTATTTTTCCAATCTTCATAAGAAATATGAACCCAGCGTCTTCAAATATTGCATACCCCTAGATCCAACAACTCTATTTCTAGAATTGTATGCAGAAGAATAAAAATGCAAGCATGTCAATTATTAGACAATTCATAATATTGAAAAATAGGAAGCAAAAGCCTAAATATCCAACCGTAAGTAATTACATAATAAATTACATTCCCATACAATAAAATACTATGAGACCACTAAAAATTATGCATATACTTAAAATTTTACCAACATGTTCATGGTATATCTTAAATCAAAGGAGAATCCAATCATTTTTTTATGCAATAGGTTTTTGGAAATCACAGATGAACTTTTAGTCCTTTTTAGTCTACTTTTTTCAAGTTTTCACCGTGAAGTAAATACTAAGAAATAAAAACATGCACATGTAAACAGCAAAAAAAAATTATATTTGATATATCTGTATTTATCTATATCTATAATTTTGCAGTTCTAGGGATCAAACCCAGCACCGCCTGCAGGCTAGGCAAGTGCTGTAACACTGAGCTACATCCTCAGCTTGAATGGTGGTTTTAAAAATACTTCAAATACTACATAAAAACTGAATTATCAAGACTTTTAAACAGAGAATGGCAGAATGTGCGACTATGAGTGTGCCTCAGGATTGTTTTGGCATCAGTCTAAAATCCAAACCTTCTACATCATGCCCATGCAGCCGGTAGCCAGAGGCGGCTCGTGGGAGTCGAACAGTAGGAAGGGTTCTTACTAGAGACGGCTCTTCTGCCTCCTGAGGTGGAGGGGTGCCGTCAGGCATGGAGGAAGGACTGGCCTCGTTGTCAGTGGTCACGTCTCCATCTGTCAGTGCATCAAATGAGGGCAATCCGTCTTCATCCACAGGGAGACTGTCTAGTGTCTCTGTGAGGACTGCGAGCAAGTTTGCCTCATTTTCTTCATCTATCTTCTGGAAAAGCAGAGAAGAAGGTGGAAGAAGACAGGAAGTGAGTTGACATTGGGAGGTGGGTAGCACTATTAATCAGCACGGGCTGCACACGCTCAACAGAATGAGTAAACTGTATGTGGAATCCTGCACCCTCGCCAGGACAGGATGACCGTGGCTTCCCCGGGCTCCTGACTCATATTGGGTCTGAACCACATGCTTAATGAACACCTCTGCAGTACTGGTCTCTGATTGCTGACTGTCCAGCTTAGCAGCCTGTATGTCAGCGCTTGATTCAGCTGTGGGTGATTCTGTGTCTTTCACCTTTCCACAGACTTGTGTCTTTGTCTTCTAACTCAATGGTAAGATTTAGGAAATCTGAGGGCTGAAGAGAATCTTAATCATCCTCTATTTAATCTGCGGATGCGGTGTTTAGATCTCCTATACAGCACCCTCAAAAATGTTTAGATAACCTTCCATTTGAACACTGCCAGAAACTTAAAACGATACCAGGAGAATCTACACACTTTCCTGATTTCAATTATAATCTCATCACTGAACACTCTGAAATCATTTATTTCTCTCCCTGACATCTTTCCCAACTTTAGTCATAAATCTCTAACTGCCTACTGGACATTTCTACTTTACAATAGCTCCCTCATCTTCAAAACCCAAACTTTGGACCTTTATCACAACAAAGCTGCTATTTCTCCTGAATTCTTTAGTTTGGATAACAATACCCCAAATTTAAATTCTGCAACTACCTCAATCCCTCTTTTTTGGATTGGTTACTAGGTGGAATCTTATTTTGTAATGACTTAAATGCACTCTTTTTCTTGTAGCCAGGGTAGTATTCTTTCCCACCTCCCAGATTCAGTTTCACCAAAACACCTATTGAAAACTAATCTTCAGTCATTGATTCCACAGACATGTTTGGAACACCTTATTTTGTGCCACAGCCAATGGAGGGGGTAGAGATACAAAGAGAAATAAGACAAAACTCTGTCCTTCCAAGAACCCTCCAGTGGAAAGGAAGAACATGTGAAAAATTGATTATAAAAGAGAATACTAACTTCAGTCCATGTAGAAAAACATTCAAGGACTCCCAACCTGGGATTGTGTACCTTGCTAATAAGAGAATGTGTTAAGTTCTATGCACCTGGACAATCAGTTCCAGGGCTGGGCACAAAGTCTAGGTAGTCAATGATTACTTTCTGAATAATTCATTGATCTGCATTTTTTTGCCAACAATATAGTCTGTGTGGATCACTTTCTTTTCCTTCTTTTAGCACTTTATATTGTTTGTCTAATTTGGCTGGCTTCCAAAGTCCTTTTTCTAAAAGTTTGGTTCGCTATGACATTAACAATATGTGCTAAATTATCCCACACAGATTCTATTACAAAATGCACCTAAGCTGCTGACATCTAATGAAGCCAACAGTGCCCACACTTCCTTTCTCTCTAGCACTGAACTCCAGTTAATTGACCTGACAAAATTACAAGAATCACAGAATAAGACAGCTAATCAGAAAATCAAATTGTATTACTAAAGAAATTAGGCAGGGTTTTATCACGTATACATTCTATTTTCACATAAAAATTGTTTTCCCTCATTACTAATCAGTCTCTATCCGGGAGTAAAACTATAGGCTTCTTTTTCTTTTGGACTCAAGAGGCCCAAAAGAGCCATTTGTACTCATGGTGGATATCAGTGCACATTTTTACATTTGCTAAATGCATCTCCCTGCTACTCCTAGATTTGAGATTGTGAGTCAAGTACTTTGGACACCATGTGGCGTGACCACTGAATGAAGCTTAGACGCCACTGAAGAAGGTCAGTCCTGACCAGAAGTGAATTATCAACTTCAAAATGGCACACTTACTTCCACTTACTGACCAATTCAGTAGCATCCAAACTGCTCAATTCAAAACAGAGCTTATTGAGCACGGCCATCCCCGGTTCTCCTATCCCTATCTGTGTAGCCCTAATAATAAAGGTAGGGAAAGATTTTCTCCTTATTTTCTGCAGAGAATTATACTCTGATATTCAAAAATGCCAGTCACATTCCTCTTTAGGTTCCCACATATGCAAACAGTCAAATTCAGACTATTAAACTATTCTAAATATAATTATATTTAAATAAAATATACACTATTTAAAATCATCACAAACTCATGAAATAATGACTATAAATTTCTCCATATTATCTCCATAAAATATTCTTTGAAACTGTGTCAAATACACATGTGCACACAGACACATACACACATTTTCAGTAAACTGAACTTTTCTCCAGGTATGCCATGATTCGAAAAGTCTTCTTTAACTGAAGTTCAAAAAAGAACTCAAGAAAAACAGTTAAAAATGTTTACCAATAAATGAGTAATTTTGTTTACCCTGATTTAAATTTTGTGTTTGGCTTTCCAGCAATATCACAAGCTGCTATTTGCTTTCAATCACATAATACAATAGTGCCTTAGTTCTATCCCTTGTGTAAACAAACTATGATAATTCCAATCAAGTCAAAATGACAAAGAACACTTAAATTAACTATTTTTCTCCAATTTCTTTAATAAGCCTGAGTGAATGTACACCAAATACAATGGCAAAAATATTGGAGGTTGATAATGTCATAATTAATTTACAAGATCTGATTAAACCACCAACTACTTTACTTTTCCTCTCTACTGGAACCACAATGGGAGGAGGTGGGTGTGGGGGGGTGGGAGATTGACATGACAGGCATGTGAGTGTGTGTGAGCAGGCATGCACACTCATATGGGCAGGGAGGGCTTGTAGTCAATCAATGTGTACCAGTAGGTCTGTGTTCATTATTTACAGTCAGTGTACACTCAATGTAATTGTTAAATATTTTTATTATCATCCCTGAATGTGAGTGGCTCAGAGATGCTCAAAGACCATTTATTGTAGTAACATTCTTTTTGAATTAAGGAAGAAAAAAATATTATTATTTCAAATTCTCTCTATGTTCTTTAATCATGGAGTTCTGGGAAGAAATCTTGCTATTTATTGATGACACTTTTGTGTCAAAGCTCAACACAAACACAACAACAACACAAAGTTGAGTGGACGCTGCCCCTCACTGTGGCAATTTCAATTAGTTTCATATGAGATTCAACAATCACATGTCCCAGACAAGGCAATGGATATGACAAAGAGGACTCTGTTAAACAATTAATGTCACTTTCTATTATTGCTTCAGTCCCAATTTACAGAGCAAATAAATCAAAGTCGCCATAGATGAGGTGCACTGGCCTATGAACACATGTCTGTTCACAAGTGACAGGGTATGGAAAGACAGTAGTCAGTAAAAGGACATCGCAAGGTAACCTTTCAAAGACTTGGCTGTTGATACTGCTCACTAATTCTTTGAAATTAGAAATTTATAAAAAATATGTTTCTTGTGTGCAAGTTGAAAAATAAGAGAAAGGAAAGCAGAGGGGCAAGGAAAGAAGTGAGGATCAACCTCTCCACAACCTAGCGCCATCTTGGCGCTGGCAGCAGATGTAGAAAGCAAGAGAGGAAAACCGGCCAACAGATGTCCCCACTGCTGAGCTCCTCGGCTATGGAGCAGCATTGCCTATGGTGGGGGGTGTCCAACCTTGGCTTCTCCTTACACAATGCTATTCTGCTGCTGTTCTTCCAACCTAAACCAAGGTCTCTGTGCCTGTAAAACTTCACTCTCCATGGGCTCTCCAGGAAGAAAGAAGGCACATCTACACAACCTCCCTCCAGGTACAAAGAATCTCCAGTGACAGATGATGCACAGGCATTTATACCCACAACCTAAAGTGTAGAATCCACAATGATTCCAACCCCATGCCACATCATCAATAAATGAGAGCTTAGAGCAGTCAACAGAATCTGAAGGCTCAGCACTGCTCTTTGGGACTGCTGGGTTTCCATATGACCTGGATTAGGTCTGACACGATTCAAAAGGTACAACTGAAAGAAAGTGGACAGTGCTCCTTTGGGTGTCCACAATCACTTTCAGATTACAGTGCTGGAGCTGTTGTATGATCACACGAACTTCCTCTTGTGTGGAGAGGTGACAAAAAGACTGTCCAACTGGTTTGCATGGGCCAGGCCGTCCAACTCACCCAACTCCACACCCCAGAGAGCAGATAAAGCCACTGAATCAAGGAGGAGATGAGGGACTTGGGGATGCTAACTGACCCTGAGGACAGCAGCACAGAGTGAAAACTGCATGTGGTATCCCAAAGATTTTTAAATGTGGCCTGTTATGGAAGGACCCTGCCCTGCTTATGGTAGTAATTTTTATCTGCATCTTGTAGAATTGCAATTACACTCAGCGTCCCCAGATTCTCACACTCGCTTGATCTCTGTTTGATAAAAATAGTTTAATAGCCATTTAATCACAGCTTCATTATCTTAGCTCTCTTAATGCGAATTAGGCCAGGAGAATTCTTGCTACCTCATTATTCAAATCATCAATAAGAAGGAAACAGGGGGGTCTTCTTATCATTCATTAATCAGTTTCAGTTTCTTCTTAGGTACTGTTTACTCAGAGACCAATCTGTGTGAGGGGTCACTTAGCCTCTCTGAGCCTCTATTTTTTTTTCTGTACAAAATTTCAGGGTTTTTTTTTTTATTATTTTTATTTTTGGGGTTTTTTTTTTTGGATTTTTTGCCTAATTCCCATTATGGATTTTTTTTGGATTAATGATTAATAGGATAAAAAATGAGCTGATAAACCCTGAGAATTCTTCAAGACGGAGTTCATACACATTCCAGTGTACATGCCCATCATCTTGAGTTCCCGCACTTGAATTTCATTCCTTGAGTAAAAGATCTACTGCCGACTTTTAGCTCTGGGCCACCTTCCCCCAAATACCCAGCATGCCCTGGGCTTCCTCCTTGCCCTATCCTGCTGATTTGGAAACAGCTAATGAAGACAAAATTAACTTCTACTTTAAGTGAGGCCTAATTAGGAAGGGAAATCTGCTAGAGTAACATCTGGTAGTGTATTCCAAAGCCAAAT